TTCAGCATTTAGTGCCGCATTCAGTGATATATAATTGGGTTATCAATAATAACTTTTAAGTGCACTATATAGTCAAGTTATCCCGTATATAGCTCTTGTATAAGCCGTATAAGAGATATCATCTGGCTCGCAGGAAAAAAGTGGAAGATTCGCAGAAATTTTTATTGATTCGTCGTTTTGTATTAATTTCTTTTCGAACTATGTATAGTTAATAGGAGTTTCACTATGGTTTCCGAATAGGGCCGTTTTTGCTAGCATATCCACCCCCGTCCTTTATAATTTACTGGTGCTCGATCAATACTAACAAGTACATGGCCACCAATTCGATATTGATAAACAGTTGTGTTTTCATTTTCAATTAAATATTTAATTAGAGGCAAAACTTCTTCATTATCAGATTTCGAAAATGTATGAAAATATTTCATAAATTCTATATGATCAATTGTTCATAAATGGCATAAAGACATTCCTAATCATATATAGATATCAATTAACCAATTTCGACATTTTTCCATATCACTAAAACAAAAGAAAAATCATTTGAAACAAGTTTTTCTTATCAATACTTTTAATAACTTGCATTTCTCTCTCATTTGATGATGAATTTTTTTGACCAAAAAATTTTAAAATTAAATCTTCATCAAATAAAGGTAAAAGTTTATCTTGAATAAATTGAATAATTTCATTTAATTTTTCATCTTTTCCATCATTTGTTAAAGATTATTGTTGTTGTTTTAATTGATTTTCAAGTTGTTGAAGACGAGTAATATGCAATGGAATATGATTATTTAAATCTTGTTGTCTAGATATTAATTCCTCATATAATTTACATTGATTATCAATTAATCGGTTCCATGACAGATGCACCAGTGACAGTTGTTCCCCAACGACATTTGTTCTCGAGACCCAGATCAAGTCCCAATCAAAACCAAAACTCATCCTCACTCAGCCTCACTCACACGGGCAACCACACTCTCAACTATTCTGGAAGCAAGTGTCCAGGAAGCAGCATTCGCGTTACCCAATTAATCTATATTGAAAAATCATAAAAGCAAAGATCATAAAAAATTGTTTATTTATTTTGGAATCCAAGAGATTTTCAAATCTCGTAATGCTTCTCAATATTCTTGATCTTTTTGTGATGATGGACTATTTGGTGTTCCTTCTTCAGTTTTTGTTGTCGCAAAGTTGCTTGTTTTTTTATTACCACTATTTTGAGGGTGTGGGTGTGGGTGTTGATCTTCTGTCCAGTCGCACCCCATACTCACACCCCCACACCCACCCTAAAATGGCATTTTTATTCATTCTTAGTTTTTTTCTTCAATTGATTTATTCTAATTATATATAAAAGAAAATTGTTGCCTTTAAGTTTCATTTTTATGTTAACTTTAAAATATTTTAGAGTTTATGTTAAGACTATCATTTAAATGATCTTTTCTTTTGTAATAACTATTTAGATTTGCTAGGCCTATGATTCAAATTTTGACAATACTAAAAGATATATAAGATTATAAATCTTGAAGTGAACTCTGATGGAAGTTAGAAACCTTTTCTTTTTCTTGACAAGAAAAAAAACCTTGTCACATTTAACAAATAGAATTATTTGAATAAAATTTCTTTTAAGTTAATTTATTATCTTTATGTTCCTATAAAATATTGTTAACTTTCACAATGATTTCTTTATGAAATAATCTATTAAAATAAACCGATGAATATATACAAAAGTGAATTCCTATTTCAATTAAACATTTATATTAAAAAAGAGGTTATTTATAATTAATTGAAATCAAGCAAATAAAAGAAATTTCTATTAAATATTTAACTATAAATAAAAACAAAGAATTTTCGTTTGAACGGTATGTCTAGGGGAAGATGTGAGTATGTGTATTTGACTATAATTGTTGAAAAGATTTATTCATCATTTTTATTAGAGAAGAATCTTTTATGTAATTATTTCTCTCAAATGATGAATATCTACAACCGTTGATTATTTATTTGCTTTCAAAAACTAATTGATGATGAATGAATGCAATGCACACTCTCATCCATAATGTTTAAAGATTTCTTGAAAATACCAAAAGCTAAAATTGAAAAACCTAATAGTCATTTCGCACATTAAAAAAACGA